GGGCCCGGTCGACTGTGGTGGCCGGGCGAGAGCACGGCCGGCCGCCGTGGCTGTCGCGAACCAGAGGAGGGAGAGAGGGACGCGCGCGGGAGAGAGAGAAAATGACGGGGGCAATTCCGTCTTTTAACCAAAAATCCATTTTCCAAATATTTACGATTATGCCACTGAGCTTCATTTGATCATATCTCTCTCGTTACAACTCCGATTCGAGCCCACTACGTGTCTACGAACTCATCTCACCGTGCTCTACGCAACGGTACAACCGGAATTCCCAAATTCCTTCCGGATAAAAAAATGACTAAAATACCCCTATCCCACGGGTAAATTCTTAATTCCACTTAAATAAATTAAACATGGGACAAATTTGGGGTCGGGGTGTTACATAAGAGATATTATTATCTCGAATGTTTCGACAATTAAGAGATTATTATCTTGAATGTGTCGAAATGTAATTAACAAAAGCCTTTATTCTTTTCAAATATTGATAATTTAAAAAAAAAATTGATAAAAAATATTGGTGAAATTGTGTTATGAGTAGTTTGCTTTCCTCAACAACTACAATCATCTAAAGTGGTGCCAAGAGCTACTCAAACTACGCCAAGATCATGATCAAACCTGAATTTATGGTTTCAAGGACAGTTCCTCCATCATCTGTTTGATTTGAATTTTATGTTTCTTAGGAAGTTTTAATTGATGACATATGCAGACCGCGTTCAAATCGCAAATGTTTCTCAATTCCATTTGTAGCTTGTTTTGTTTCAACAAAAGTATCGTTCATATGTACATCGGTTGGGAAATCGAATCATTAATTTTCCATGGAATACAACTGGATCATCAACGAAATTGAGGATTTGTTATTGATCTCTTTCAACAAAAATGAAAAGAAAAAAAAACAGAAACCTTAAATTTTGAAATTAGCATAAGAAAACAGAACACATAATAAGTGAAAAGCAAGTTGTAACTCAAATCAAATTATTCAACAGAACACGTACGTTGTTGCTTTTAGTATGTAAATACATTGGGCTTGTCAAGCAAGACAAGGTTCTCTGTGAAAGCATCCATGACCGAGTAATAAGTAGAACGTTCTCCATCAAAATGAAAATTCTTAACTTGTTTGGTCTTAGTGTTCACAGATTTATATTCAACGATATCATCATCAACCTTTAGTTTGAGCACAACTTCTTCACCACGTTTACTACAACCAACCAGTCTACAAATACGCCCTTCCAGGCATATTGCAAATAGTTTAGTCCATGATTTGGCCACACCATACTCTTCCATCACCCACATGTTCATGCGAAGAACCGAACCACTTTCCCTCCTCTCCCAACAGCTTTCGAAAAATGCAAGGGACTCTCTGTACCTCGAAACCACGCAATCTCGATTAAAATCCAAACATTTTCTTGTTTCAGCTTCTGGTGGTATGGCTATCTTGCTGAACACTTCACCGGACATATCAAATGACAAAATGGAAATATTCCAGGTGCTCACGTTGGCTTGAAGCCAATGCTGAGCACCAATGACAAAAGCAGACGGATGACCAGCCTCAAGGTACCGGTTTCCAATGTCAAGTTCCTGATGACGATCACTGGCAGTATTGATTAGAGTCTTCCAAGAGCCCTTGGCTAATGACCAAATCTCATATTGACATGAGACCAATGGGCCTCCTCGAAAACAAGACACTCTTCGTAAGACCTTATAGTCATTGGCTCGCCTGTCGTAGCCAAAGGCAAAGCTTATTCCTTGTCGATGATGATATTCATGACAAAAGGTAACACCAGACTTGGGCAAAACCACAAACTTTCTGATGCTTGTCTTTCCCAGCAATGCACACGAGCCCGTTACAAGTTCCCACAAACTCGGATCCCCAGGTCTTGGTTCCAGTGCGTTCGGCGTAATATGTATATGGATTGTCAAGATTGGTACTATACTCTATAAGCGTAGATGATGATGATGATGATGATGATGCACATGCACGGCCGTCGTCTTTGTTGTCGTCGTCCCTGTACAATGAGTAAATATCAAATTCAGGATGGTGGAGGAGGAGTTGAACGTCGTCGTTTCGATGGTTGGATTTGAGATGGGTGTGGATGAAGGTAGAGCTTTTGATCATACAATTCCATGACTTGCACACTGTCGTGAACCGAAGTAGAGACTTGACGGGTAACCTAAGCAAGATTTCGTATACGATTTCTTCAGGAACCTTCATCGATCCAATTATCTTGTCTGTATTATTATCATATGTACATGGATTTGGGGTTTTATTTATAAATTTGTATTTATTTTAAGGTTATATAGGACAAAGTCTTGGTCTGGGAAGAAACCTAATCCTTTTAAATTTCTTAATCCTGATCCTAATCCTATAATAACACCTTTATAAACCTAATCCTTTTTTTCTTTCTGTGTGGATTAAGTGGAGGTGTACCATATAAGTTTGATGCCGTGATTAGATCTCTCTGTTTTTTATTTGTGTTGCGCTTATAACTAATTTATAAATATAATCTCCCCCTATATATATATATATACAGAGAGCTTCCATTGAGGGATTCCTCAAATAAGCTTATTTGAGGGACACCCCTTGTAGGCCCCACTCCGAATTGTATTTCACTAATCCAAACCGTCTATTTTGTAGATACTTATTCAAAGATCATCTTTACAAAAAATCACTTGAATCCGATATCATTTGACAATTCAATTGATTTATTGAAATTTTAGTACTTTCTTGAAGCACCGTGTTCATTGATTTTATAGGACACAATTGGATGTCGAAACGGTTTCCGATTTGTCTAATTTTTTGTAAAGATGATCTATGAATGAATACCTAAAAAATAGATGGTTTGGATCATTGGAAAAAAAAAAAATTGTAGTGTACCATAAATGGCGTCCCTCAAATAAAATTATTTGAGGGATCCCTCAATAAAAGAGGACTGATATATATATATATATATATATCATCATCAAGATAGAGTCATATGAGTCTTATATCATGCACAAAAATGTAAAATGCAGTCATTACTTTGTCAAGAAAACCGTGCTGCTTTATAATTACTGTTTGGCATTAAATTTTCAAAAGAAAAAAATAAATAAATAGCTGGCAGAAAAGGGAAAAAAAATACGGTGGCCATTGAAAATAGATTGCAATCAAAGTTAGTTGATTGAAATCTGAGAAGGCAAGTATCAGAAAGTAAATAGGTACAAACCCGATCAAAGAAGTCTCACAATCAGCTGCTCAATGGGTTCTAAATCCAAATCGAATCACTAGCAAATTATGTGTTCTTCATAATTTTAATCAAAGAGTGTGTTTCTTTTATGATGCTTATGTGTTTCTTACCGAATATTAATTGGTGAAATTGTGTTGAGAGAATATCCGAAAATTTGACAAATTAGCATAAGAAAACAGTGCATTTTGTAACACCAACATTTTTAAAGAAAATCTGAATCGATCTGTTCTAATTAATATGCGGAAAACTGCTTTAAAAAAGACATTTGCTTGTGTTATTTGTTCCAATAAATCTATATATATAAAGCAAAATGCAGAGAATGGTAAAACATTCAAAATACTAGAAAATGCCCTTGATTAATTCAAACATTAAGAATTAAAATTATTAATTAAATGAGGATAATATGATAAATTCATTTTTTTCATATTAAAAAAAAATTAAACATTTTTTCCTATTATCTTATTTACATTCAAAATCACCTTTTTTCAGATAATATGGTAAATTATTAATTAGACAGTCCTGCTTTTATGGAATATAACTACCCATATTATCTTTTCTTAATTATAAAAATAAAATAAAAAAATAAAAAAAAAGACCATGCATGTGCCAAGGGGCTAGTTAAAAATAAAATTAGATTATTGGTTATCAATTCAATATCATAAAATGATAATATAATTTACACTCAAATAGGTTTGAAGAAAATAAAAGAACACATTAATTCTAAGTGAAAGAAAGCAAATCTTCCAACGTTAATATAGTTGCTAATTTTAGTATGTATTTACATTGGGTTGGTCAAGAAAGACAAGGCTCTCTGTAAAAGCACCCATGGACATGCGCCTGCCTTCTTCTCAATTCGAAAATTCTTAACTTGTCTGGTCTTAGGGTTCACAGACAAACATTGATCATCTTCTTTACCACTCACTCTGACTCTGAGCACAAGCTCACCACTGTTTCTAATACCGACCAAATTAACCGTTGTCCCGTCTTCCGTTTCCAGTTGCAGCCATATTGCAAATAGTTTAGCCCATGATTTGCCCACACATCCTCTTTCATCACCCACATGTGAATCCAAACTCCTCCGGAAGACGGACAGCTTTCAAAAAAAGCAAGGCACTCACTGTACCCGGAAACCACGCAACTACGACCTTTACCAAAATGGGACCTATGTCGGGTTTCAGCATCTGGTGGTATGGCTATCACTAAGTTTTTTTCGGTGCTAATAATAACACTATTTACATGTATGTCATGTACATAATTTCATATGGGTGATTGTCTAATCGATTGGAATAATATGTGGATCTTTACTTTTGATTGATTAAATTGTATTTTGTCCATATATTAGGTAAATATTATCAAGGAAAGAATTCAAAATTTAAATTCTGAAATTCAATTACAAGGAAATAATGCATTAAATTTATATTTTCAGTAAGTTTTCCTTATTTACCTCAAAGGGTAAAATCGGCATAAGTACTAAATGTTAAAGGATCTACATCTAAGTTCTAAGCGCGAATGATACACACAGAATTTGTTAAGACCTTATTATAAGTTCTAAGCGTAAATGATATGCATGGCCTTGGTCCCTACTCCTTAACAATGAGTAAAGCCCGTATCTATGAGCTTGAAGGAGGAGTTAATTCGATTGCTCGGGTTGATCAGATGGGTGTGGATGAAGGTAGAAGATTTCATGTATGATTTCTTCAGTAAAGTTGTCCCCTACCATTGCTTCCATCGATCCAATTCTCTGTATTATTATTATTATTATTATTGTTATGGATTTGGAGTTTCTTATAGGAGAAAGCATTGGTATGGGGAGAAACCTAATCCTAATCCAACTGCGACACCGAAAAACTTTCTATACAAACTGACTTCTAATTCTCCAAATTCTCATACAATAACAAGGATTTACCAACAATAATTATAAGAGGCTTATTTTCTTAAAATGTTGACAGGCTTCATGACTGCTAATAATATGGAACCATTACATACACCACCCAGAATATCGATCATTCTTCGGCAAATCATTCCAACCATACACATAATATAGCAAGCACAACCACAATGCTGTTTTATTTTTCTACACAAATAAGCCGAGCAAAGGCCTCTTAATATATAACAAGCAACAAACTAGTCGGGTGTTCTTTTACTTACCAAAGCAGCACCGGAAAGTTATTTTTAAAACTCTTGCCACTAAAAGGGTTTAGATAAAAGGAAAAGGCAAGATAAAGTTCCACCCCATGAGAAACTTGGCATAGGCCTAAGTGGAATCCCTCACACATTTGTAGAAATCACGGACCGGAGACATCCCCCTTCATGCATCCGTAGAAAGCACACACCGGAGACATCCCCCTTCATGCATCAAATCAAATGCTTTGTTGATCTCCCCAAGAGTCAACTTGTGGGTGATGTACTCATCAACTTTGATTTCCTGCAACAAGCAAGAGCATGATGTTATCAGTTACATACTTGTTGTAAAGGAATTCATACTGTCGATTATTTGTCAAAAGCAATTACCTTCTTCAAGTACTTCTCTACAAGCCAAGGCACCTGTGAGCGGCTCTTGAAACCACCAAAGGCTGTTCCCTTCCAGACACGACCAGTCACCAATTGAAAAGGGCGAGTGGAGATCTCCTGCCCTGATGCTGCAACACCAACAATAACAGATGTTCCCCAGCCCTGCAAATTGTTTGAGCGACCTCAAGATGTGTTTTATACACAACAATTTGAGCCACCAGTCAAAAAAGCACTCACCTTGTGGCAACACTCCAGGGCAGCTCTCATCACCGAGACATTTCCAATGCACTCAAAACTGTAGTCAACGCCACCATCAGTGAGGTCAACAAGGACCTGTTGGATTGGCTTCTCGTGGTCCTTTGGGTTCACAAATTCAGTAACTCCAAAGTTTTTTGCTGCAAATAAAAAATTGCAAGAGTGTAAACTTTAAAATGCATAAAAACCTTCCTAAATGAATTCAAGAGAAGACGTTACTAACATACGTAAGCTGAAGATAAGTTAAATAACAGAAGAAAATGAGTCCCTGATGCAGGAAATAAAAGTATAATACTAACAAAAGGCAAACTACAGGTCAAAATTATTTGGATGAATCCAAAATATATCCCGATACACAATGTCTTTGAGGACTGTGAATGTGACCTATTCTGACTACCCATTTCCACTGGAATTAGTTTCCTAATACCTGTCATTCCTTATTCCCTCAAAACTAGAAGTTAACTTTTCCTTCACCCATCAGGTGACAACAACTTTGTTCCAAAGCATGGATAACCAGAGCCTCTTTCATCATGAACAGACAGGCGAAAACAATCAATTATAAAGCACTGTTTACTATGGTAAGGTTTTGATATGGTAGAACCTAATATGTACCTGTATCAAACTTTTTGCTATCAATATCAATGCCAATTATTCGTGATGCACCAGCTGTTTTGGCACCCTCTGCAACCTGTCAAGTTATGGCAATTAGTTCATCACAGTTCAGAACTCAGCACAGATTTATTAACTTAAGGTCCGATTAACAACTTACAGCAAGACCAACGGTCCCAAGGCCAAAAATAGCAACAATTGATCCCGATTCTACTTTTGCCGTGTTCCAAACAGCTCCAAGACCTAGCATATGTCGGACACAGGAACACACATATTAATAATCAGGATAGAGGCATAAGATGAGTCCTAAGTCATGCATACAGAAACCCCAAAAAATGTAAAATACAGTCATTACAATGTCAACAAAACCATGCTTCTTTATAACTACAATCTTCTTTCTTTTCACCATAAAAAGGATGAGGCCATTTATTTGGACTGCAGTTGTGAAACTCCATGCTACATCAATATAACCAGTAATAGAATTTAAAAAGAAATAAATAGAATTAAGATGTACGTTTAATGAAAGGTTAAATACATTAACCAAGAATAGCTAAAAAAGAAAATGCTATTATCCTTACCAGTAGGTACACCACATCCAAGAAGGCATACTTTC